GGAGTAAAACATAAATTATAAAGTCCTTATGTGGAAGGAAGGGGGGAGAAAAGTAATAACACAGCTAGGGTGTAGGTATATATTCCTATAAATTATACATGAAGCTGGAGCAAAATTACGTTATCCAGTCCTATCTACCCTAGAGTACAGCTGCTTCAAGGCAGCCACCCCCTTTTATTAAGGTTAAAACTAAACTAAGTAGCTCATAGCCCCAGGGAATTAAATGGTAGTATCTCTCAACCTTATATGTAAATAACCTCAATCCTTAGACAAACAAACAAAAAAAGTTATAAAATCAAGTAAATCTCGTATTGGTACATCAGCTCGACACGCGTTTCGGTGTAACTATCTGCCTTTATCAAGAGCTGACTTGCTACTGCATTGTGCCCACATTTAAGGGGGGTGTTGTACCTCCACCTCTATGGGGTTTACCAATCAGAGTTATATGACTTCATCTAGTGGGATGGTCCTCCCTAGTTAAATGTCCCACCAATCCCTGGGCTCATATCAAACAAGGGGACGGGGTTCAGTCAAAACAACCAGCCCTCTATCAGAACCCCATTCATTTTAGTTAATCCCTGATGTCCTTAAAGGGACTCTCCAGTGCCAGGAAAACAATCCGTTTTCCCGGCACTGCAGGTCCCCTCTCCCTCCCACCCCCGGTTGCTGAAGGGGTGAAAACCCCTTCAGTGACTTACCAGAGGCAGCAACATGTCCCACGTCGCTGCTTCTTCCTCCACTCACGCTCCTCCCCTTCATAACGTCAGCCAGTGGGGGAGACAGATCACGTCCGCCGGCAGGGAGACCTAATGCGCATGCGCGGCAATCACGTGCAGGCGCATTAGACCTCTCCATATGAAAGCATTGAAAATGCTTTTCAATGCTTTCCTATGGGGATTTTAGCGATGCTGGAGGTCCTCACACAGCGTGAGGACGTCCAGCGACGCTATAGCACAGAAAACCTGTGCTATAGACCAGGAAGTGCCCTCTAGTGGCTGTCTAGTAGACAGCCACTAGAGGAAGAGTTAACCCTGCAAGGTAATAAGGTAATTATTGCAGTTTATGAAAACTGGGTGCCTGGAGTGTCCCTTTAAGAAAGTAAAACGGAGGAGCATGTTGCCCCCAAGATCAGTTTGTAGGAGTGCATTTTTATTATCCGTCGCCTATAAATCAACAAGTGCTCATAAGGGAAAATAGCAGAAAGTCCCAGGAGCTATCCTAATGGTATCAGGATGTTAATCCGGATGATTGTGTAAATAATATATTTATAGGGCTAAAACCTTTTATCAACCCCTGATGGTTTTAAGGAAATACAATGGAGGAGTATATCGCCCCCAAAATCTATTTGTATGAATACACTTTTATTAACCATTGTCCGTTATTCAACGAGTCCTCAAAGGACAAGTTGCTGAAAAAGCAGCTACAAACAGTTGTATAAATTGTATATTTGTATAGAGTTAGAAGCATGAACCCAGGATAATGTGTTAATGTCCTTAGTTCAATCCCTCAGAAGGTGAGAGGGAAATCAAGGGACTACATGGAATCTACTCATACACTAGCACATTATTAAATTACCTATGGTATAATACACTGCTCAAAAAAATAAAGGGAACACTTAAACAACACAATGTAACTCCAAGTCAATCACACTTCTGTGAAATCAAACTGTCCACTTAGGAAGCAACACTGAGTGACAATCAATTTAACATGCTGTTGTGCAAATGGGATAGACAACAGGTGGAAACTATAGGCAATTAGCAAGACACCCGCAATAAAGGAGTGGTTATGAAGGTAGTGACTACAGACCACTTCTCAGTTCCTATGCTTCCTGGCTGATGTTTTGGTCACTTTTGAATGCTGGCGGGGCTTTCACTCTAGTGGTAGCATGAGACGGAGTCTACAACCCACACAAGTGGCTCAGGTAGTGCAGCTCATCCAGGATGGCACATCAATGCGAGCTGTGGCAAGAAGGTTTGCTGTGTCGGTCAGCGTAGTGTCCAGAGCATGGAGGTGCTACCAGGAGACAGGCCAGTACATCAGGAGACGTGGAGGAGACATAGGAGGGCAACAACCAAGCAGCAGGACCGCTACCTCTGCCTTTGTGCAAGGAGGAACAGGAGAAGCACTGCCAGAGCCCTGCAAACTGACCTCCAGCAGGTCACAAATGTGCATGTGTCTGCTCAAATGGTCAGAAACAGACTCCATGAGGGTGGTATAAGGGCCCGACGACCACAGGTGGGGGTTGTGCTTATAGCCCAACACTGTACAGGACATTTGGCATTTGCCAGAGAACACCAAGATTGGCAAATTTGCCACTGGCACCCTGTGCTCTTCACAGATGAAAGAAGGTTCACACTGAGCACATGTGACAGACGTGACAGAGTCTGGAGACGCCGTGGAGAACGTTCTGCTGCCTGCAACATCCTCCAGCGTGACCGGTTTGGCAGTGGGTCAGTAATGGTGTGGGATGGCATTTCTTTGGGGAGCCGCACAGCCCTCCATGTGCTCGCCAGAGGTAGCCTGACTGCCATTAGTTACTGAGATGAGATCTTCAGACCCCTTGTGAGACCATATTCTGGTGCCGTTGGCCCTGGGTTCCTCCTAATGCAAGACAATGCTAGACCTCATGTGGCTGCAGTTCCTGCAAGACAAAGGCATTGATGCTATGGACTGGCCCACCCGTTCCCCAGACCTGAATCCAGTTGAGCACATCTGGGACATCATGTCTCGCTCCATCCACCAACTTCAGATTGCACCACAGACTGTCCAGGAGTTGGCAGATGCCTTAGTCCAGGTCTGGGAGGAGATCCCTCAGGAGACCATCCACCACCTCATCAGGAGCATGCAGAGGCGTTGTAGGGAGGTCATACAGGCACGTGGAGGCCACACACACTACTGAACCTCATTTTGACTTGTTTTAAGGACATTACATCAAAGCTGGATCAGCCTGTAGTATGTTTTTGCATTTTAATTTTGAGTGTGACTCCAAATCCAGATCTCCATGGGTTGAAAAATTTGATTTCCATTTTTTTTTTTTGTGTGTGATTTTGTTGTCAGCACATTCAACTGTGGCGAAACCAACCTCGCCACTGTGAACTGGAGAAGCCTGGTTGCTCGCCTGCTCCCTTTGGACTATGGCCCTGCAGGTTAAACTGTTTATTTCCCCTGCAGAAAGGTTTATTTGTGTGATCTGAGTGCCATTCATCTAATAATGTGCACTCAGATCCCAGCTATCTGGGGATATGTGAAATGTCTGTGTGTTATGTGTAAATGTGACTTTATGTATTTTAAAGTGTTTTGTGTCTTTTGCAACCATGTGCTTAATGGAGTCTTGTGTCTATCCTGGGAGATAATTGAATTACTCTCCAGGATAGAAGACTCTGAAACTGGTTTGGGCCAGAAAGCCATGCTTCCTTTAGTCACAAAGGACTTTTTACTAACTTTTGAACCCCTTGTCTGATTTGTGCCATTTTTTAATATGTTGCTCCTCTGAATGGATTGATTCCAAATATGTAATTTTATGTGAATGTGATGTATGGTTTTAGAGTTATGAAAGTTGGGTAGAAAGTATGTTTTAACTGTATGTATAATTGAGTTTCCTCAGGATAAGGGGAGGGAATATGTGGGATGTAACTGTGATGTGATTGGTTGTTTTATACCTCCCTGTGGGCGGTCCTGTATTTGCAAGACTGTAATAAAAACCAGGCTGGGTGTGCCAGCACCGGAGTTCCTGTTTAACCCTCAAAGTGAAGTGTCGTCTCATTATTGGGGGAAGGATTCATTGTATGCTGTTCCAGTTTGACTGCTAGGAGAGTAAACCTATTCGTATGGTTCCTATTCAACTGTCTACAGCATTCATATGCTTGAGAGAATTCATATGCTTCTCTGGTTCGGTGGTTGTGGTGTCTGCTGTAGTGCTTGGAGTCCTCAGGAAGCGCTAGGAGCATCCTTTAACGGAGGTACCCAGTCGGGGTGCCAGGCAATCCGTTACATTGGTGGCAGCAGTGGGATGGCGTCCTAGTGCGAGGTAAAGCAGCTCAGAGACACAGTTCGTGGATTTACAAATTGAAGGTAACGCTAGCACACGTGCAGCGCCCCTGGGAGCAGAGGTATCCAACGACTTGGAGCAGACAAGTATGGAAGGCTCTGGCGATGATTGGATGGCCGAGGTGAGGCAGCGAGTGGCCCAGTATGGGGATGATTTACCCATGGAGGCACGCCGGGTGATCTGGAACCAGGTCACGGCCGAGCGAAACACAAGGCTGGCCCGAGAATTCCGGCTGGCGAAAGAGAGAGAGTATGCTCAGCGGAAGGAGTGTTACAGCAGCCGAGTAGAGGCTGCATCCGGGGAGGCTAGCCGTCTCCCCCTGAGGCGGCCGCAGGAACCCGAAGTAGGGGTCCTCATAGACTGGTCCTGTGAGGAACCACAACAGGCAGGTGGAGATGGGACCGGCCCAGATCCCCAGCAGCAGCCAGAGTTGCCAGGTGCGGAAGCAGGTGGTCCTTACTCGCAAATGTTGAGGGACCTCACAGACTGGTCCTGGGAAGACCCACAGATGGCAGGTGGAGATGGGACGGCGGTTTCTCAACCGGCCCTACAGGGATGCTGGGCGGTCGGCCCAGATCTCCAGCGGCAGTATGTACCCCAGGGAGCTGAAGGTGCAGTCCTTCCTCCCCAGCGGCAATGTGTATCCCAGGGAGCAGAAGGTGGCGTCCTTCCTCCCCAGCGGCAGTGTGTACCCCAGGGAGCTGAAGGTGCCGTCCTTCCTCCCCAGCGGCAGTGTGTACCCCAGGGAGCTGAAGGTGCCGTCCTTCCTCCCCAGTGGCAGTGTGTACCCCAGGAAGCAGAGACCGCCTGTCTCGCATCCCAGCCGCAGGACAAAATATTGAAAGGGGAGACAGTTGGTCCCCCTCTCCACCAGCAAAGAGAGTGTCAGGGAGAGGAGCAGGTTACCCCCTCTCCCCAGCGGCAGTCTACAATTCAGAGAGAGGAGCTTGTTACACCCTCTCTCCAGCGGCAGCCTAACCCACCAAGGGGAGATGTTAAGCCCCACAACTATGCAGGTGGGACCGTAGTCTCTGCACTTGCAGCACCAGGGGTAGGGACAGTCGGTCCTGTCCCCCAGCCACAGAGCAGTGTATCCAGAGGGGAGACAGTCGGTCTCCCCCTCCCACAACCAGGCTACTTCAGTGGTAGCGCTGGCACCCGGGCAGAGTACCGCTGGTCTCTGCCCACTCAGCAACCCACCAAGGCAGTCTACCAGCCCCCCGCACAGCTGTGGTGAGGCACCTTGACATGGACAAGTTGCTATTTTATCCAGGTGTAGTAACCAGTTATTGTGGGTGGGCTGTATTGCTGTTTGTGCTTTGTGGGTGGGTTGCTGGACTAACCAGGGCACTGACCGGCAGGAGGTCAGATACCCTGTTAGTCTGGATGGTAAAGGGGAGAAATGTGGCGAAACCAGCCTCGCCACGTGTCCTTGGAGGGGGCTGCTTGCCCGCCTCTTGCCTTTGGACTATGGACCAGACTTTATGAGAATGTGTTAACCCAGATAGCTATGCCATGGAGCCCATTCGTGTAGTTAAAGACTTTGGCTCCATGGCAATTGAACTGTGTGAATAGGATCTGAGTGCTATTCGGTAGTTTTGTGCGCTCAGATCCCAGCTATCTGGGGATATGTGAAATGTCTGTGTGTTAAGTGTAAAAGGTGACTTTATGTATTTTAAAGTGTTTTGTGTCTTTTTGCAACCATGTGCTTAATGGAGTCTTGTGTCTGTCCTGAGAGATAATTGAATTACTTATCTCCAGGATAGAAGACTCTGAAACTGGTTTGGGCCAGAAAGCCATGCTTCATTTAGTCACAAAGGACTTTTTACTAACTTTTGAACCCCTTGTCTGATTTGTGCCATTTTTGAATATGTTGTTCCCCTGAATGGATTGATTGTGAATATGTAATTTTATGTGAATGTATGTATGGTTTTGGAGTTATGAAAGTTGGGTAGAAAGTATGTTTTAACTGTATGTATAATTGAGTTTCCTCTCAGGATAAGGGGAGGAATATGTGGGATGTAACTGTGATGTGATTGGTTGTTTTGTAACGCCCTGTGGGCTGTACTATGTTTGTGGATTGGGAATAAAAGAGAGACTGTATGTGACAGTACAGGGAGTTCCTGTTTTAACCCTCAAAGTGAAGTGTCGTCTCATTATTGGGGAAGGATTTATTGTATGCTGTTCCAGTTTGACTGCTAGGAGAGTAAACCTATTCGTATGGTTCCTATTCAACTGTCTACAGCATTCATATGCTTGAGAGGATTCATATGCTTCTCCGGTTCGGTGGTTGTGGTGTCTGCTGCAGTGCTTGGAGTCCTCAGGAAGCGCTAGGAGCATTCTTTAACGGAGGTACTCAGTCGGGGTGCCAGGCGATCCGTTACATCTAGTATGTCTCAAAAAGGGGTAGAGGATTTCTCCATCCCAAGGACTCCGGCTAGAACAAACACCCCATCACAGGAGGAAGATACGGCTAGTCCAGCATCTTTCAGATCATGGACTATCCCTCGCATCACTAGCGAACTCAGGAGACGACAAATCCCTTTTCCAGCAACAGCAAGGAAAGCGGAACTTTACAAATTACTACACACCTCAACCGATAACATGGACGCTGGGGAAGGGTCGAGCCAGTCCAACCCAGGAAACATACATGACATGCTCACGTCCCTCATGGCATCCATGAGCAAGGTCAATTCTAGGCTGGAGAAACTTGAATCGGTCACTACAGCCCTCACTATGGCTGGACCACCCACGGCAATTCTCCCATCAGTGGTGGAGTCGCAATCAGTTTCTCCAGCTATCACCTCGGATGACCAAGAGGTTTACCCTGCCCACATGATTCCTGAGCACCTCAGGAGAGATATCCTGGAAGGTAAAGATGTCAATCTGGCCTCACTACTAATTGCCTCCCAGGATATAGTGGAACATAAGACCTACGCTTATGACGATATTTCTGTGGTGGTCAAATCTAGGGATGCACGATTAAATAGGAAGCTAACCATTCCAGAATTTTTATTAGCTTTTGGCATTTATCGGGATGTGATCTGTACGGTATATCCCCACAGACGTGAGGAGTTTGACTTATATATGCACAGGCTGGTTGATCTGGGCAACAAATATGGTGGGTCAGCTTTCTATGACTACCATAGATCCTTTTCTGCCAAAGTGTCTGGCGCCTTCTCACAGTACGGGACAAGGTCCAACTGGAGTAAGATTGATACGAGCACCGGCCTGTGCACACTGCTCCTCCATGACTCATACTGCCAATTTTTGTCCGACCACTGCGAACGAACCTACCACCTTGCAGGGCACTAGCTCCGCTGTTTCGGCAGAGAGAACACCCAAAGACAAACTGGGTCGACCTATCAAGTTTTTGGGGAAGTCCCAAATATGTAATAATTTCAATGTCGGTGCATGTAATTACAGCGGTTGTCGGTTATTGCATATATGTTCAAAATGTTTTAGGGCACATGCGAAAACCATGTGTCCACATAAAAAGTACCCTAAGCAATACTTAACTGAGATAAATATTTCTGTACTCACGGCATTACTGTCACAACATCCATCTAGACATTTGGTAGACTTCATCATCACTTGTCTATCACAAGGATTCCATACTGGTCTCATACACATGCCTTCAGGAATCCTTGAATGTCCTAATTTACAATCTGCACAACAAAACCCTACAGTGGTTAGCACACTCATAGCCAAAGAAGTGGCAGAGGGCTTCCTATTGGGACCCTTTCAGTCCCCTCCTTTTTCCACATGGCGGACAAACCCCATCGGTATTGTCACAGGGAAATCTTCCCACAAACAAAGACTTATCATCGATCTGTCTGCACCTCACACCTCTGCCTCACCTAGTCTGAATTCCCTTATCCCCTCTGAGGAATTTTCACTTCAATACTCCACCATAGATCACGCCATTACAGCTATCATGCAGGCAGGGGTCGGAGCATGGCTCAGCAAGACTGACATTACAAATGCCTTCAAATTATTGCCTATCCACCCTACACTATGGCACTTGCATGGCATTAAGTGGGCCGGGCACTACTACTTTTTCTCACGCCTAACGTTTGGTTCAAAAAGTAGTCCGGCCATTTTCGACGTATTCGCCGAAACATTATGCTGGTTATTATTAAATGTAGCCAGATGCCCTACAGTTATACACTACCTGGATGATTTCTTACTGATCGAAGAGAACACTTCCCCTCCCAGTAGCCTCATAGAAACCATCAGTCTTTTTAAACAGGTGGGTGTTCCAGTCTCCCCCACCAAAACTGAAGGACCAGATACAGTCATCACCTTTCTGGGAATCATGCTAGACTCAGCCACCATACAAGCCAGCCTGCCACGCACCAAGATAGAGAACATTCTCACCAACATTAACCTCTACATACACCTCGGTACTTGCAATCGCAAAGAATTGCAGTCTCTACTTGGGTCACTGAACTTTGCCATGCGCATTATACCTCAAGGCTGGGCTTTCATCTCACGGCTCCTAGCCATGTTCCCACTGTTTAGACATGATGCACACAGGTTACCACTGGATACCCAAGCCACGGCAGACCTACTTATGTGGAGAAACTTTTTGACCACCTGGAATGGGAAAAGCATGTTTCTCCCTAAATTGTCTGACTCCTCACCTACCATCTGGTCAGACGCGGCGTCTACCACAGGTTTTGCAGCAATTTACGGGAATGAATGGCTTTGGGGTAGCTGGCCTCCAGAGGTACAGGACCTGGAAGGTTTTTCCACTACCTCAGCTCTATTTGAGATGTATCCCATTGTTGCAGCTGCCGTGACATGGGGGCATCTATGGGCAGGTTCGTCAGTACGTTGCCACTCAGACAACCAAGCTACCTGCCACATCATAAACAAAGGCCGATCCAAGTCACTGACCATTATGAGGTTCTTGAGGAAACTCACCTGGCTGGCTGCATGCCATAATTTCTTCTTGTTTTGTGTCCATGTCCCAGGTGTTTGTAACACGGCTGCTGACAATTTGTCTCGTTTCAATTTTCAGGCTTTTCGGCAAATACTTCCGTCAGCCGCACGTACAGCCACGACCACTCCACCTTTCCACCAGCTAGTCATGGACTAGAAGCTATTATGCAACATAGCAGGACATTGGCACAATTAGCACTGTCCACCAATACCCGGAGAACATATGACAGGGCTTTCCTTCTATTTAAAAGATTCCTGTCACTGCACAACGTCACACAACCTTTCATCATGACATCTTTGTTAGGTTTTGCTTCTTTTTGCCACCTCAAACTTAAATTATCTTACAACACAATCAAGCTATATCTGACAGGCATACAACATCACATGCTAACATTACAACCAAACAACACAAGTTTCATGTCCTCCTACCAGATCAAAACCATCCTTAGAGGTATCCAGAGATCCGAACCCCCATGTACCGTGCAAAGGCTACCTATAGACTTCAATATCTTCAAGGATTTATCCAGCCTACTAGATTCAAAACCCTTTGCGAACAACACAAACCTTGTTATAAAAACCGCCATATACGTAGCTTTTTATGGTTTCTTGAGACCAAGAGAATTTACCGCCATCAACACATCCCAGTCCACTCACATTCTGCTTCATTCACACTTAACGAAACACATGGATTACTATATTTTAGCTCTGCATCACTCCAAAACCAATCAACACGCACCCCCGGTAGAGGTTAGATACTATCCTACCCACAACGTGTGGTGCCCCGTCACATTACTGGACACCTATACTCAGCATTTCAAAGCATCACCATCTCAACCACTTTCTGTCTACAAGGTTCGGTACTCACTACCACCACCTTCATGACCCACGTCAGGTCCCTACTTACACAACTAGGCCTAAAATCAGCTAACTATTCGGGCCACTCCTTCCGCATAGGGGCGGCCTCCACAGCGTCCAATGCAAACATTCCAGTACATGTTATCAAGTCACTAGGGCGCTGGAAGTCTTCTGCATACTCTAGATACATACCTAACCCGGTACAAGAAGTTAGAAATGCCTTTCAAGATATGCCTGGTTGAAGTATGTATATTGCTCGTTTCGTAATAAAGTATATTTTCTACTTTTTCCCTCTTTATTTGCAGGCCTACCTCATCGTCGGTTCCGGCACAGCACAACCGACTTGCTCTT